CAATAATGAATTGTCCAAACTTCTAGAGCTTCTACCTAAGTAGATAAACTAGACAAATTTTATTGATCCACAAGGGAAATTATTTGGACACAGTAGCTCACATATCGCATTCGCAAGAGTACAAATATAAAAGGTAATAATAAAATCAAAATAAGTAAAGGTGTTATATAAATGTACAAGTAAAATATAGAAATATAGTAATACAAATATATCTCAGCTATCTATGTGTCTAAAATAAAAACAAAAAATACCAAAAAAAGTGAAATGTAAAAAGGTAAACTTGTTGATTTTTACACTGTCTATCTCACCTCAGATGGCACATACGCAATCCCATCTGTTCCATTTCCCCTCCACATTTTTGCCCTTGTCCCACTGGCTTCATTACCTGTGAAACCTAAATATTTTTGGGGCTTAACTATTACGTTTAATTGAAAGACACATTTTAAATCAAACTGGCAGCTAGTGATTGTTTCTCTCCGCTGAACTAATTTACTGAAAATAGTGACCCTAAATTAATTACGATAGAACTTTATTTGGGTTGACTTGTTGGGACTCGGAACAGATAAATTAAACATGATGTTAATTGACAAGAATGGGCTGAAAATGGTCTATCAGGAGCACTTTAGGATTTCACTGTCAGCCAGTTCACATATGCTCCGCTCTCATTACCATACAGTAGGCACTAAACTGTCAGAGGCCATAACGACTCTGCTAAATAGATTGTGATATCTAGATTTTTACAACCCTTTACCATCTTTGCCTTTGCTTCCTGTGTGTCTTTGTGCGGTCCAGACTCCAGACAGGAAACTATAGGCATTAGTGCGATGGCATCAGTGTTCGAGTGTGAGCAGAACCTGACCCTTTGGCTAAAGCTAAATACGCACTGACAAGGCTAATCTCCAACTTAAGAGTCCCTTATCTGTTAGCTCCTCACTTTAGCACAGAAATAGTAGTCCTTTTTCCTATATCATTGGCTTTTCTGGGCGTAAGGTGTAAGTTTAAGTTTACTTTTTAACATAGTTCCTCTGAATGGTCGTTTATAATGCTGAAAAAACATGTTAAATTATCAATTTCAGGTGCACTATGTACATTTTCTGAAGGAGAGTACGCCTGTTTGTCTCCATGGAGATGTTATTGCTTTGCCTGAATTAAGAATACATGTTTTTCAAGGTGTTTTTGAGCAATTAAAGCCCCTGAAAGTTAATGAACGCAAGATAGAGTTCCATGCAATACTGTTAACATTCAAGGCAAAACAATCAGAAAAACTGCATTTTAGTAGTAATTTAATGCTGATGAGTGCAGATTACTGAATCAATTATAATTACTTAATTTAATGTTTAATATTTAGTGTAGAGTGCAATGAGTTGACCAAACAATAAATTAGCTTGGCCTCATCCCCATCCTTGTAATGGTAATAACACAGTGCAAATATAGCTGCTCAATGTTGCTAGTTACATTCTTCTCCAAGAAAAAGCCAAATCCCATTGATTTTTGGATGCCGGTTTTGTCAAAAAGCCTTGATTTCTAAGCGCCTTGTCAGCCACAGATGTTGACTAGCCGTGGAAAGCAGCTTGTCATCTCAAGTAGTGCATGTAGTTGGAGTGCTCATTGTGGAACTAAAGCAGTACCAAATCCCAGGACTGAGGCAGTCCTCCAAGTTTTCCACCAACCACTTAGACTTTTCTGTTCAAACATATAGCCATAAAGACAGAGAGGCCATTACTTCTCAGACAACATGGACACGACTATCTATTACATACAATCCAATAGAAAAGTATCAGCTTCAGTGATTTGTGTGTCAATCTCCTTTATTTTATGTGTGTGAATATATGCGCTAGGTGCCATTGCGACGCACGGTTGGTTGACATGAACAGATGTTAGGGATGTAGGAGGACTACCGTTTGGAAATCAGAAGTGAGAGGTTGAGAACAGACCAATTTGTGCACGCTGAGGACACGGGGCTCACATGCAACCTGCTGACGCCTCATTTGATTTTATGCTAGCGCTGGAACGTCAACACTTGTTGGTGCAGGGAGGCGTGAGTTACAAAGGCGAGCTGACAGGATACACCTATGAGATGAGCAGGGAGAATGAGCCATCTGTATGTGATATGTGCCCACTGACCTTGAGCCTGTACTACTGTGTGCAGTCACATTTGTTAACATGTAACTGTGTGGAAAATGATTGTAGGGTTATAAAGCATGAACACGCATTTCATATGATTTGAGTCTGAATAAACCTATGTCTGTGATGTCAAGAAAACATGGAGGGGCAGCCAGTAGAAGTAAGTGATATAGACACTCTAGAAAACACGCTGATTGAAGGAAGTAGAAATTAACTATAATAAGTTTAACTATGATGAAATTAGTAAGCTAAAATTGCAATGTTATGGCCCTTCTGATTGCGATACATACATATAATCCATATAAAAAACTAAAAAATTTTTAAAAACCTGTCTGGCCAAGATTTCATTTCACAATGATGCTTTAATCTCGTATTGTAAGTAACATAAATCTTTCAGCTTTTTGCACACTCACTTTATTTTTGACAAAGTCCTTGCCTCCCTTTCAGCTCTCACCTGCTTTCTATAATACGCAAAGCCGTCACAAAATGGAGTCAGTCAGGATCTTTTAATGAAGTGTTTTTTTTAGACAGCTTGCTCTGATTTGCCCTCACAGACCACAATATCCATCTCACATCACTAAGTTGCAGTGACGTGCCATGGCTTCTTTAGCCTGTATTCTGTGCCAGTGCAGTATATGGATAGCACGCTGCCTTTGAGGGTGCTGGGATGAGGTGGCATTCACCCAACAGTTAGCTCCACATAAAGCCTTTATCACACCTAAACGGCTCCGTCTCCCAAAGCCAGGGACAGATAAGCACTGGCCATTCATCTGTAATGATGTGGAAGCAGGAAGCGGCTGAACTCGGAGCGGAGTGGGAAGGCTAACTCTGACACAGGCCTTGAAAAGAAGTGTAGAGCCATGGGATTCTGCTTGTTCAGCTCATATAAAGCTATTGGAACATGTATATTATGCTGGGTAATTGTATAGACTTTTCAGCCAGAGAGGTGTGACACTGAACATATACGTATATATTATAGCATATCAGATTCAACATATAATCAGCTCTCTTTGTTGACAAAATAGTACTGATTCAAATATTTTTTGTTACTGACCAAACCTGAACTGAGGATTTAGTGGTGAAGTATAACAAAATTAAATTGAGAAGTGCCAGAGAACTGACCAATTTTCTTCAAAATAAAAAACTTAATTACTTATGAGTAAACAACTCAAAAAACATGTTGATTGTGAATTGCTCAATAAAGTCTAAATGGGCGGCATGAATTGTTTTTCAAGACATTTTCAATAAATCAAAATATTAATCAAATGAACAATGATTTGGGGAATTGGGTACACCGTTTAAGATGCAAATAATACATATCTAAAAATGCTGCAAAAAGAACTGATTTTAAAAAAGTGTCAAAATAACAAAAAACAAAGAGCATATGTCATAAATTATATTTCTAACTACTTACTATTATTACATAACAAGGGTATAACTGATATTACAGCACTCTTATGGGTAATAGTCCTTTCACATTTGTCTTATACATTTTAAGATATGTTTTTAGTTAGTTAAGTTTTTACAGCCACTACTCTTGAATTGATATAATATTGTCTGATTATTGTTACCAACAAATACTGAAATATTCCTTTTTGTCAATATCGCCCACCTGTAGTTTTTATTTGTTTAGATGAACCTTTTTGTTTGTTTGCAGGAATTGTGTCTTTGGAGCCGTAGTAAAATGTAGTCACAATAAGAGACATTTTGGGAGGAATGCACAATATGCTTTGTCCTCACACAGCACAATGGAGTCCTTGTTTAATTGCTCTTTTGTCAGCTACCGTCTGCCAGAAACCCATTACATCATACATCAGGTCTGAATCCTTTGGCAATGACTGTTTAATTCAGGTGCACTGTAGAGAAAACAACATCCCCAGAAACCTCACTACAGCAAAAGCAATGTGCTGCAATAGATTTTTCTCACTTTTGCTTTGACCGTTTGTGTTGACTCTATCGACTGATGTAACACTCTCCCATAGACATCATGATAATACGTTTGACTGCTTCCTGTGTTCCCAGAGTAAATATGAGGTCATTAAAGAAGCTGTATCAAATTTGCAGGAGATGCCTGTGGCGATGCCCTGGTTCATAGATGATGTAAAGTGTTTGGCACACACACAAAAAAATATGTTTTTAAACTGGTGTGCTATTTTTTATTTTTATTATTATTATTTTTTTTATAAAATGTTCTTGTTCCAGATGACTACTGTCTGTGTTTAGTTCTTGAATTAAAAGTGTATTTTGTTTTTTTGTCTTTGTGCTTCTAATAATACTGTATGGAGATATAACATTGTTCGTTTGTACCCCTGTCTTCATTTAGGATCAGGACAAGGCTTTTATTTCTTTAAAGCAAATTGTTTACTATCTAGGATTTTATGATTGGGGTGAGTGCATTTGTGAGTGTATTCTTAATTTTGGCTTATTATTCTGTAAGTGTCAGGAAACTCTTTCAGTTTGTCATATGAGGCTAGGACTTGATATTTTGTTGAGTTATTTTTTGGTTCATCTATGTTAGCTGTTCAGTTCCCTCAGTTTGTTCCTCCACTCGGAAATCCAACTCCAACTGACAGGCAACAGGCTAAGTCTATGTGTGGAAGTGAAAAATATTATCTAAGTACTAAAGACGGAAACAATGAATAATACATCCTATTGTGTTTATTATTTGTGTACTGTCTGGACGGTGTTCTGATTACATGTCAAAATTTCCTCCCACACAGCAATACAGTCTTCTCAGTACAATTTTGATTCTAGTGTGAGCAGATTTGTACTTTTGTTCTGCAGTGGCTTTTTAAAGACGCTGACGGCGCCTTTAAAAAGCACAGCTCTCCTTGTCACACTGTCACACCTGTAACCTGTCTGTGTGTGTCTTCCAGGCCTAATTGGATCCTGACTGCAGCCCCGGGCCTATCAGCAGCCGAGGAGGAAGACGGATGAAACCACACGCGCTCTCAGAGAATGCTACCTACCCCAGCGCCTCACCATGTCAGCATAGGGCACCAGCTCCTCTGTCCTCTGCCACTCACCCTCTTTTTACCCTTGTTTACTCCCTTCTGATTGGATGCTCCTTTGTCTGTGCCTGTCTGAAGTGATATGACTACACGAGTCTCTATTTTGGACATGTTGCTTTTTCCTCTCAATGCTGCCGGCCACCAGGGCTATGGTGGTAAGCGGTATCACCCCTCTCACCAAGTCACCAATCACTGTCTGCTTTGGCTTTTGGGATTAGCCCTACATTTGACCTTGTCCTTGTGTCAGCGCGTCGACCCCAAATACCCCATAGTGTCCACAGGCTATGGCAAAATCCGGGGCATCAAGAAGGACCTTAACAATGAGATCTTGGGCCCAGTTGAACAGTTCTTGGGTGTCCCGTATGCAACAGCACCTATAGGAGAGAGGCGTTTCCAGCCCCCCGAAGCACCTGGGTCGTGGCAGGAGATCAAAAATGCCACCCAGTTTGCCCCTGTGTGCCCCCAGAATGTGCACGGTGTCCTGCCCGAGATCATGCTGCCCGTGTGGTTCACAGACAATCTGGATGCTGCCGCCACCTATGTGCAGAATCAGAGCGAGGACTGCCTTTACCTCAACATTTATATACCCACTGAAGATGGTGAGTATCCTTAAGTATAAATAGTTAATGTTGAACAACACTAAAGCTCTCAGCATATCCCCAAGACATGCTAAAATGGTTTTCATAGAAAGTACCGGGTCATAGTATTAATAGTTGCCTTCCTCTAAGAGACACTGTAGCCCACATGCGAATGCAAAAAGGTGTAATAACACTTCAAAATAAGTTACACAAGCAAAAGTGCAAACAGTCATGGAAGAACAATGTACTCATTTTGCTACTGTGGGTGCTACTTTTTTGGCTTCTGCTTTTTCCATCAGTGGTCACAACGAGAAACTAGTCCCAGACTGATTTGGTGGTTACAACTATCCAGTGTTGTAGCCAGTGTTGTCTTGTTACTATTTTTCAAGCCATAATACAAATGACACTTGACAAATTTTGATTGTCATATAAATAAATGATCGTGTTATATCAGTTCATCATTGAAGACAACAATGACACAGTGTTGCAGCTGTAGGTTTACTGCCAGATTATGTCACTCAGTGCAATACAGCAATTTACATTATGCACTAAGATGCTTACCAGCTAAATACAGTTTGAGTATATCCCTTTGATAAAACTGGTAACAATTTTGTTAATAGAGTATATAGTTGCCCATAATTAAATTTTGTCTTAACATTTTCAGTTGGATTGAGTATAAATAGCCTCTAATTTGAAAAAGTGATTGTCAGGGGAAAGCAAATGCATTGTCTAAACCCATTATTATTATGATGGCCTAATATAGAATTGTGTTATCAACAGATGTGCACAGTCACTATTGAGTCACAACTGCTATTCTTAAAACTGCCAAAGGAACAAAGTGTTTTTTCTCTTTCCTTATTTTAACTCAAAGCTCTATTACAACAATTTTAATAATTAACCAGTGTCATCTAAAAGCACATGCACTTAGCATGATGTGTTTGAAGCCTGCATAAAGTTTACCCTGTGTGGGGCTGTGTAATGAGCGAGCAGAGCAGTGATGTACAAAGGAGACAGCTGAGCAGCAGATTTCTGCCGGTTCCTTTAGTTAGTCCACCGAGGCACTGTGATGACAGTGCATGTCTCTTAACGACTGACTGACATATGCTTACAGTTGAAGACCGACGCACTGGAGCAACCCCTATACTTACACATCGGAACTAATCACCCCACTGTTCCCATGAATATGAACATGTTTGAGAACATGTCTGCTTGGATCAATCTGGTATCACATATGCTTCAGGCTCAGACGTGGAGCAACTGTTGCACAAAATAAAGGCATTAGGTTTAGCATTGTAGTGGTGTTTAGAGAGAGAAACCCACTAAGTCATGGATTAAAGTAATTATAATTTATATAGTAAGTTGATAATTAGAAGTGTATATCTTCATTAGGACTAAGCTAAGCATGTTGATGGCTGACATGTCTAGGCATAGTGAATACAAACCAGTGCATAAGGTGCCAAAATTTCAATGTGAAGCCTCTGGTGTCCAGAGGATTATTTATTCTAAAATATATTTATCAAATCTATTTTTATTAACCATGTAAGCACCTTCTATATTTTGTGTAATATCTCTGATTGTTTGAGGGTTTTTTTGTTTGTTTGTTTTTGTTCTGTTCAAAACAACAAGTAGACATTTAGTCACTGCCAGGTGTTTTGCCCACTAGTTTACCATTTTCTTCATGGGTAAGCCAAAGCCACAACCTTCCTTTCTGATCATTATAGAACAAACCTGAGCATATTTGGAGCTATTTTGGTGCTGTAATGATCTTAGAGAAGGCAGATGGTCAGGTAAGAAAATCACACCATCAAAGTCAAGCTAGGCATATGTTAGTGATGATAGTAGGCAAGACTAATGATACAATTTTGAAAGGTTTTTAATGAATGGGACCATTGGAGACTTTCTTATTCATTCGACACATACAACTGACAATAAATTACTTCTGGATCTAACCTTGTTGTCATGATGAGTACAACATGTGATTCTGTGTTCCTGTTCATGGCTATACAGCAACAATTCACTAGTTTCAACTTCATATATGCAACATTTTGACCTCTTATTCCCATTCGAAATATGTAATAATTTGTTTTAATTTGTTAATCACTATGGCAACTGTTGTGATTTCTCATCATTCTGAAACCCATGGATAGGAGTTTATATGTTACTGTTGCAACCAGAGCTGTGTCATCACTTCTGTCTCTCGTTTGCCAACTATCAAGCACTTATCTTTTACAAACAATGCGATTTCAGGCAGCATTAAACCGTTATTTGTACACATATAGATTTAGATGGTGTGCTCTGTCCCCAGACTGGATGCTGTAGTGTGCTCTGTTATTCTCAGGGGAGTACATGTGCAAATGAGTGAGACTGATTTCACATGTAGCCTGTCTTCTTGTCAGTATCTGTCACTTATTGTCAGGGGTCACCGCTTACACAGTGCTGATATGGTCCCGAGGGATGTGTTTTTTGCCTTGTATGTGAGAGTGAACCAGGGGGAAAGTGGAGGAGAGCGGAGTGCTGGTGCTATCAAACAGCACATTTTTCATATGTAAGTTGTCACAGCGCCTCAACTTGTTTATGTGATGTCAGAAGTGTGCAAATGTCACTCGTGCTTGCTCCATCTCTCTCTTGCGCAGTGCAGAGGAGTCCCACAGGGCACTGTCATTGGGCCTTTAATATTTCTGAGGATATTTTTTCTTGGTCCAGATCCATGTCATCTTCCACTAACACTAAACTTTTCTCTGGCTTTGGTATTTGCTTCCTACGGAGAGATGGTGAGAGATGCAAGGGCTGGCATTTGTAGTGTGGGTGTTGTGTTCCAACTCCGAGTTAATGCTGATAGGTGTGCCAAAATAAGACACAGTTAAATGAAGCAGCCAGAATCACACTTTAAGGAGTTGATTTTGACACATTTAAACCCCTACACCTCTATGCCGTGTATTATCTTTGTATTTTTACTACAGGCACACTTGTGTTCTATTTCAGTCTACTAAATCCTCTCTCTGAACATGCTCTTTGCTGTATTCTTTGGAGCCACAGGAAAATCGCCGCTCTCTTTTCTCTCTGCATCTGTTCAGCCCTCCTCAGTGGATCCCTTCCTGCCTCCTCTCCTTTCTCCTCCATCTTTATGCAGATGGGTGGTAGCAGGGTCAGTGTTGTGAATGCAAATGAGCCCAATGCCCTTCTTCACCAGGCCACAATCTAGCTGACTACTTCCTGATGCCAAATGAAATACAAATGGCTTCTTGATGTAATGTAAATAATACAAATGTCCCCTAGACGGAGGAGTGAGTTTTACACCCTCTCTTTTATCTCTCTTGTGCCTTCTCTGCTGCTTCACTGTCCTCGCTCTCCTCTGGGGCGGGCTGCAGGGCAAGAACACTGTCCTGGCGCATTCCTCTTTCCTCAAGACACTTCTCAGGACCTGAGATCCTTCATTTTTATTGCAGCTAGAGCAGCCATTTACCGTGCTCTTTATTAAAAACCATATTTCAAGACGCAGGACAGAGGAGGCAGGGATAGAGCTGGAGGCTAGGGACACAGGAGATGCAGGGGATGGCTGCTGTGTGGAGGGGGTTGGACTTGGGCTGTGTCTGACACCTTGTCAAGCAGACAGGCCACGGCAGACATGACAGACTGCAGCTTCATCGTCGCTCCACGCTAAGGGGATGCACAGGGACGCAGGCCAGCTTGTGCTCTGACCACTGGCTCAATGAAGCGGACAGAGAGGCTGTGCAGGGAGACAGGGAGCGGCACTAGGTCACTCTGGACTGGGACAGGCCCTGCTGAATAACCTCACAAAGGGCAAAAGTCGCCACTAATCACTGGCCCATTATGTCAAGTGAGCAGAAAGCAGCAGGCGTGTGCACTTATTTACTCCTCTAAGATCGAATGCAGACAGTGGAGGGTTTTGGTTTAGTGTGGCCGGGTATTTATCACATTGAGGGGACTGAAATCTGTATACACATTCAATTTATTGGGACCAGCCTCCCTAATGAATACATAAAATCAGGCTTATGTGATGCTAATTCTTTATTTTTAAATTAACAACATGGTTTAAAGTTCAAATAGTTTAGGTTAACCAAGTAGTAACTTATGGTTAAGATTAGGATCAGTCTTCAGGAAATGAATGTAAGTCAATATGATGTCCCCAAAAAGCATGGAAAGTGTGATGTATTTTGGGGAATACATTGCCAAACAGATTTTACAGAAATAAGGCCAATTTAATGCTAAATGGATATGCAAAGTTAAATTTACACAGTCCATTAATCTTGATTTGAGCAGCTTAAGATCATGACTAGTTATAGGGAGCGAGTGGCATGCTGCTCAGTATGTGTGTTATTTAGTTTGGTTATAAAATCGTTTTAAATGTACAGTATATAATTAACATATATGCCACTTATAGGCATTTTAACATTAATTAAACACATATGCACAAGTGACAAGAACCCTGCTAAGCTCCAGCTGCTACACGTCTGTAATGTCTAGCACAATGTTAAATTTAAACAATGTCTGAATTAGCTCATTCTTGAGACTTGAATTGTGACTCACCAATCCGTTGCATCACAGCCTCTTGAATTTGAAATGTGGATGTGTTTTACTTTAAAATTCTAATTTGTTTGATTGATTGATAGATTTTCTTGTTTCAAGCTTATGACAGTATTTACATATATACAATATTTATAGGGTCAAAGCTCACAAAGAAGGTTTGCTACATATTTACAATATAATGATTTAGGCTCAAAAGGGATTGGGAAGAAGAAAAACGTTTAAACTCCAACCCCCGTACCACAGATATCTTGTTCTAGTTCTAGTTTATACTTCCACTGTTAATCATTATTACTATTATTATTATTATTATTATTATTATTATTAGTAGTAGTAGTAGTAGTAGTAGTAGTAGTAGTAGTAGTAGTAAGTAATAATAATAATAATGATAATAATAATAATAATGTTGTATGGTATGCAACAATGCTTTAAACAGCAGCAGGATGGTAAAAATGTTAGAAATACATACAGGTAAATTTATCACAAATTAATTAAACAGATATGATATAGGGTCACACAATTTAAATTAACATAAACACATACACATAAGCACATGCATTCCTTCTCCTCCCCTTAGCCTCTCTTATGATCCATCAAATCCCAAAATTTCCACATACACACAGTCTACATGTTCCTGATCACTGAAAACCATCAGTCATTAACTGAATTAAGCCTAACCCTAACCCACAATTGCAGATTAAACTATTTCTTAGCCACAATAGATAGAATAGAAACAATTTATGTGCAGAATAAACATAACATATCAGATAGTATTGTAATGCTATTGTAAGTAACACTAAGTTAATGCCTTGTGAAAGCTGACCGGGCAGTTGATAAGTTTTGGCTAAATGAACAGTGAGAAGAGAAAAGTTTGCAAGGCATATTTGTTTTTTACATGAGACATTTCTACTTTGTGAGAGCAGAAGAAATCAGAGCAGTGTGCATTAGACGATGAGGTGTGGTTGCAGAGTGATGCTAAGTAGTGGGGAATTGCTGAGCGGGCTGTGGCTGACTAATGTGCCTCTCTGTCCATTACCGGTCTGTCTACCTGTCTGCCCTGAATTAACCACCATCTCGCCATATGGCAGGAAGAGCTCCCCTGAACAAGGCGCCTGCATACTGCTACTGAGGATGCTGCAAATCTATTCAGCATCGACCCTGGTCCATTTAGAAGGAAGATAAACATTTTATATCGGGAAACCATATTCATATTTGTCCATACTGAGGTACTCTGAAATGCACTATTGTGCAGAAGGGATGGACACAAGTCGTAAAATGCATTCTGTAAATGCAACTGCAGTGAATATAGATTATACTGTATATTTGTGCATTTTTTCATATGTTCATTTTTTTTTTCTTTCAAAATTAGGGCATCATCAAAATGTAAAAAAAAAAAAAAAAAATATATATATATATATATATATATAATATATATATATATATATATATATATATATATATATATATATATATATATATTATAATAATAAATTAATAAATAATGATAGGTTATAAAATATCAAAGCTTATGATGCACAAGTGTCCTTTATTTGTTAGGAATCAGGTCCTAGATTGAACCTAGATTCTTTTATACTGACACTGAAGACAGTGAACATTGTGTGTCAGTTTTTGTTTCATCTGGATAGGCCCAGTAATTACAGAGATATTAATAAACATATTATATAAATCAGGACTGTAAGCCATTGTAAAATCAGAATTCACAAAGTCAAAGCCAGGGTTTAACCATAATAATAAGGCCTGCATGCTACTTAAACCCACATTAGTCATATAGTCAATTAAAATATTACTCGTTTGTTTGACTCTATAAAAAGGTTCTTAAAACAACGTAATTTCTTGCATATTGAATTTGCAGACATTGCCACAACAATACATATTGTGAACAGCCCTATAGTGCCCTAATGTTTTATGGCTCCTTTGTCAATAGACACAGTCGGCATTGCTTCAGTGAGGCTTCCAGCTGAATGTGAGAAACAGGCCTGTCAGCAGCGCAACTTGCAGTGTGATAAACCCCTTGGCAACCCAATGCAGAGTCTTCTCTCCTTTTAAAGGCACACTCCGCAATGCCTTCCCCACCGCAGCGCCGCACACATGCATAGAAAGCCACAAGGAGGACAGCAACAGATGATAAGGGCACTGTTAACATGCTTAGAGTGTACATGTAAGGCTAGATGATCTTGGGGGGCTTGGCAAGACAAAACGTGAACGAGTTTTAATGACTTCCACGACACAGAGAAAGATACAAAACCTGGTGGTAATTGCAACGCTGATGGAGAGCTTTGCTAACAGAAATGGAAGAGAGAAAAAAAAAACAAATTAATGGGATCCTTATCAGTTGAGACGTACAGAGGTTGGCGCACCGGGGCGTTGCTTGGTCACTGTGATAAATGCTTTTTATTGGTCCAGTCCTATGGAGCGTTTAACAGGCGTTACCATTAAAGCTTAATGTGGGGTCTACTCTTTGACCTTGGTGAGTACAATCGTATACCTTCTTATAGCACTAGTAGCACCTTTTTGTTGGCTTAGTCCTTGTACACCTCACCTTGTTATATAATGTTGCTTTCAATGTGTAAGGCTCTCTGCAATGACGTTTAGCTTTAGGGCCGCACCACTGGCCACTGGCAGTATCCTACAATTGCTATTCGCCTTTCCTGACCAAACGGAGTGATGGCTTGATTCTGCCCATTGATTTTTTCTTTACAAAGCAGCGGTGTGTCAGGACTGATTGGGAGAAGGGGTTGAGGAGAAGTGGCCTCTTGGGTCATTTACAAGGCACTCCGTGACTAGATGTTAAACACTCGAAACAGATGAGTTTGAGGTGATCTTTGAAGGAGATGCTGTAAGCATTTTGTCTCACAGTTTTGATGCATTTTGCAAAACAACTGAGTAATCAATGTTCTTTCTTTTTTGTTTTTCTGAATGTTAGGCCCACTCACAAAGAAGCAAGATGAGTCGACGCTGAACAGGCCAAGGGATGAGGGTAAGGTTTTACAATCTCATAAATCACAGGGCATCTTACACACATACAACCATGCTCCTATTTTAAGTGCATGAATTTTCTCCCTGACAGGTGAACATAAACTAGAATCCATGCACAATGCCTATTTATGTCCGACCACTGATTAATTGCTTTTACATTATATTCTCTGTCTCTCTCCACAAATCACTTATAGGCCTCTGTGTTTTATCTGCGAGATTCAGATTATATAAACACATCTAATAATTTTTATGTTTAATGGTGTGTAACTTTTGATTTCATCAGTAGAAAAAATAATCACTGGACTACAACAGACAGTAATAGAGATTGACCAGTATTTTCACAGTCAGTGATATTGCTTTAGACTCCAGAGTAACTGATATCCTCTGCAAATATTTTAGAGCCAATGCGTAGAGTGGATAATTTTCCCCAAATTATATGGCCTGAAATTACTTAAAACTTAGTGTCTGCAGTCCACTGTTCTTCATAGATATGGTATAATATTCATGAGTTTCAGGTGGATATTTTTTTATTTGAATTTGGATTTTGTGAAGACCTTCAGAAGTTATACATTTTGATTTGAATTGTGTTAATTAATTATAACAATGGAGGACCACTGCCATGCCAAATCTTTCAAATCTGGAAAGAATCTTTATGCCTGAAATCCAGAAATATAGAGCAATGATTTATAGACATCCATGTTTCATAACTCATTGTTAAGAGATCTATGTAGTGCTGTGGCCCTATCACAATATATATGAAAGTTGACCTTAACACTATATAGGGCACAACCATTACAGACATTTGTAAACTGGCAAATGCGGTATCACATGTATTTACCAAGTTTGACAACAAATCAATTTTATTATTATTGTCTCATTTACTTAGCTGTCTTTGCTTACCCCACTGGAATATGTGTGTAGCAACCTAATTTTTTCAGTGAATAATTTTCAAACTTAGTAAACTGGACCTAAACAAAACACATGTACGTCATATAGCAGTGTTTGCCACAGGCCTGTACTGAGATTATGGTGGCACAAGCAACCCGTATTTGAATACTTTTATAGATGTCACTTTTTGCTGACATCTGATTACTAATTAAAGGTGCACTATATAATGAGGAGTCTCCAACCTGTAGCTAAGGAGCTACCAGTAGCTCTCCATCCCATTTCAAGTAGCTTCAAGTAGCTCAGGGATTTTTGAATTATACATATTGTGCATAATAAGAAAAAAATTGACTAATTACCCTTGTAAATGTATCATTTTGATGATTAACTTGGTGCACCGATAAATGGATAATTGTTTATGTTTTATTAACATCTAACTGTTCCCCATCTAAGACTCGTCGTGGCTCTTATATTTACTCAGTTTCTATGTGACTGCTGAAATTGGTACAATAGCAGACGGGAGCAGACACAGCTCTCATGAACCTGCCAAAGAGGAGCAGAGCAAAGACACTCCAGATCAAACTGGACTGGATGAACTCAAAATTATTGAGAAATACAGTTCACACATTTCAAGCAACTGCTCCAAGGGGCACCCAACTCTGGGTGAGTTCCAGAAAAGTCCAGTGGAAAACCCAGAGAACCTGGAAACTCAACCTGAGACCCAAGACCAAGAGGAGTTAGAGAGACTAGAGACTCCAAAGGATGTCCTGGAGGTTCCAACTGGACTGAAACAACAAAGTCCTAAGGAGAAAGAGTTCCTCGGTGTGTTTGATGAATCTCCTGAAAATTACCAGACTCTAGAGCAGCTGGACATCAGCTCAGAGGGAGACCTCAGTCCAAGTGAGCCTCAAGCACAAGAGGACCAAACCCTAGAGGACACACATACACTAATGGAGGTCCAGAATCACCTCCAGACTGCAGAGGAGCCAAACATAGAGGAGGAGCAGCTTCACACTGCAGAAGACATACCAGCAGAAGAAGTGTGTGAGAAGCTGGAGACAGAAGAGGCAGCCTCAGTTCTAGAGTGCCCTGCAGCTCATCAGGCCTCACAAACCCTGGGCTCAGTGGAGAGCCTGGTGATCCACACTCTGGTCAAAAAACTGCTTCAAAAGCTGCCGTCCAAACTGAAGTCCCACCATGACACACTCTGGAGAAGGCTCTGGACCAGTTCAAAGTCCCAGCTGGAGTTCATATCAAAACCAAGAACATCAAGAAGCTGGGCAAAGCTGGTGCCAGAGATCTGATCCATGAATACGGCTCTGCCTCCAAGCTCTTGGCGATTTTTTGGGACCAGATCCCACAGATTTCCAGAAGGAAGCCATGAAACATTTTAACTTTCGCCTCAGCGCCTTCAGGAACCGGCCCAGAACTGTTCTAGCACGGCTCTTTCTACAGTGGGACAAGCCCAGGAAGAGGGCCTATTAGACAGTGCCCCATGTGTCCTTTGCGAGGAGTCACTCGTTTGGTAGAGAGGGGTCAAAGGTCATATTTGGACACTTTTGAAGTCAAAAAGTTTCACTGTCATCCAGAGCTCATTTTAGCTCAAATGGAAGTTGAAGCATTTCCATTTCAAAAACTGTTCAGATGAAACCTGCGACTCCTTTTCTCCCACCGAATGAGGATCACACCACCTCACAGAGGACACAACGACTTTATTCAAATGCATTCAAAAAATAAATAAAAAATTCTGCTCCCCCCAAATATTATTATTATCTTTCTTTTATGTCTTTTTATCTCTTAAAGCAGCACTGTGTAACATTTCTGTAAAGGGCACTTCACCTGCATGCATGTTTTTTCAATTGTGGTGTCAGCAAGGCCCTGACATTTCAGCAAGAAATATAAAACAAATAATTTTATTACATAAATAAGTCACAATGTTGTATTTATTTAGACATTAAGTTCTCTCAGACATAACATAAATATGAAGGATTAATGAACTGAACTGAAAACTAAAGTATCCAATCAGATTTGATTTTCTTTTGGGGGTTACTTCAGAAATTCCCTCTCATTCTTTGGGCCGTCCATCTGTGAGCTGCTGGCCCTCGTCTTAAAACTGACCAATCAGAGACACTAGCTCAGCACTCAGGTCTTCTTCTGAGTAAAAGTTGCTAACTCTGTAGTTCATACTCTACAAACGTGCTTTGAAATACATGTGATTCTCGTACTAGTTTATCAGTTCAGATTTCAGTCTTCTGGAGTTGTTTACAATGTGCACGCTGAATCCTTCCTCTTAAATACATATTGCAAATCTAATGAGGAAACTGAACATGTTTAAGAGCTGCTCTGAAGGTGAACTGAAAATATATGGCCTCTATCAAAAATTCTAAACTCTATTTCAATACAAAGGAATAAACTCTATACTCAATACGCATTCCGATCCCACAATGAATAACAAATATTCTTTATTTACACATGACTGTCATTTAGAATAGCATGTGTTTTTTAACATTAAATGTTAGTATTTTCTTTTCTATTCCCATGTGGTTTTATATCTGTGTAATCCCTCAGTGGTCCATGGTTTTATACTAGTCTATGTGCTCTTATACTTGTTCTGATACAGCTCCAGATCATTCTCAAGCTATTCAGGAAAGTTTCATTTCTGTGCTGTGAATGTCTTTGTCTCTTAGTCTGAGAGGTCTTAATATTTAGTCCAGGGGTCTTCAACCTGTCACTCAGGAGCTACCAGTGGCTCTCCACTCCCTTCCAAGTAGCTTGCCAAGGGATTTTTGAATTATATGTACTGTGCATAATACGTAAAATTCAATTAATTACCATTGTAAATGTATCATTTTGATGCCTGACTTGGTGCACCGATAAATGGATAATGGTTTATGTTTTATAAGCATCTAACTGATCCCCATCTAAGGCTCACCTTGGCTCCTATATTAACTCAGTTTCTTGAGTAGCAACTGCTGAAATTGGTACGATAGCTCTCTGGCATTTTCCTTTTTGTAAAGGGAGCTCCGTGCAGAAAAAAGGTTGCAGATCCCTGGCCTTGAATGTTCCACAGTATGACATTAAACAGTTCTACTTTACATTCATTAAATTACTGAATTACATGTGGTTTTATAGTTCAAAAATACCTAGTAAATCAGACTGACTGGATTGGCTCTCCACAGATCTGAACTGTAACTTGTCCTGGTTCTGTCTCCATGATGTTTAATACCACACAGTGAAACATTCCAGACAAAGCAATAATGTCTCCATGGAGAAAAGTTACACAATACACCTTTATAAGTATAAGTACAGTTATCTGTGGATATTAATAACAATACAGGCATAAATTTTAACTTCTTGGGTTCTTTTTAAAGACAATGCAGTAAAGTGTGTTTACCTTGTTGACATGTTTCGGCTGCTAGCTGCAAGCCATCTTCAGAACTGTCACCGGTGTTGGTGGTGACGTGTCGTATATCAGCTGTTGTTACTTCCTGTAGGCGTGGTCAGCCTGATGGACCTGGCAGGTCGCTCAGACTGACCACGCCTCCTGTCGCCCGGTGTTCTCTGGAGGAGGGTGTCCCAGGTGTGTGAAAGGAGGAACGCGCCGTCATCACGGTTAATGCTGTCCGTGCCTCGTTTCCTGATTTCAACTGAAATCCTGATTCCTGATTTCAATGGAAATCAGGAAACGAGGCACACAGTAAACACACTTTACTGCATTGTCTTTAAAAAGAACCCAAGAAGTTAAAGTATATAAGAAGACAAAATTAACATCTTTTGCTGCATACAGGCATAAAGTTTAACTTTTTGTTTTTACAGTTTGTTTTTAGACTATGGGGAGCCACCATAAACTGTTAATATTAATGGAAAACACTGCTGATAGTATGGGCCTATATTCAGTGCAAGCTAATGGAAATGCTCTTGTCTCTCCACTGATGCAACTCAAATCCATGCAGACAGTGTAGGCATCTGTCAGACGAGCCATACTTACTGTATATTACATGACCGTATGTGAACACAACAATAACACAAATCTGTGCCTGTGTGTGTCCACTTGGATGGACATGTGCTGCTCTAATTTGTAGCCAGCGTGTGCGTGAGCCCTTTCCCCCTAACCCT